TACATATTATGTGGCTTTTCAGTATGATAAACTCAACTATTTACTTCATGAATATATATATAGGAAGTGAGAAATAACAATAAATTAAATTCGATAAGAAATAACATTTTTTTTTTCATACATCTATATATAAATAATTTTGTGCTAATTTTAGCTCCACCACCATCAATACAGTGCAGTGCAGTTGACTAGTTGAGTGGGGGGATGGTGATGAGGGATGGAGCATGGATTGGATTCAAAGAGTGTTGTTGGAAGCAGAGATTAAACAAAAGAGTTAGGCCACTGGAACTAATAAGGAGTACCCCAACGTCACATCTCACATGGCCTCCATTGTTTGCTCTGTTGCCCTCTCTCTATTAATTTCCCTAGGGCTAAGGGATATATGACCAGATGATCAATGATTGATTAGGGGAGACATCCACGCAAAAAATTTTATAATTTGATGTTAAACATTTGAGTCATCAATGATTGATTAAAAAAAATATTTAAGATCCATACAAAAAAAAAATTAATTTGATTTACATTAATATGATACGATGGACATTAACATTTGAATTATCAATGATTGATTAAAAAAAATATTTAAAATTCATACAAAATTTCTTATAATTTGACCAACACTGATGTGGTACAATAGAAGTTAATATTTGATTTGTCACACACTCAATTGTGTAGATTACATCTCCTTTGTTACATCATTATAAGTAAATTTAAGAATCTAAATCGTGGATTTCTGACACTTCTCATTAATTAATTAAATAATTTTATACTATATATAGATTATGAGAAATTCTATGATTTGAGGTGTGTACCATATCATGTATTTGTAGTCATGATTTTTGTGTATTTAATTATGACTTATTGTATTGTTAATTATGACTTGTGATGTTGATATGGCATTATTTTAATTATAATTAATTTTTTTTATTATATTTTATGTGATGTTTGATTACAACTTAATTTTTTTAATTATAATTTTTATACTATTAAGTTATATCATTGTAACAATCAAACACACAAATAATATAAAAAGGGTGTATACATAGATCATATGTAGTTATGGATAAGTGTGATTCAATCTACACAATGGGGGAAGTTGATTACATATATTTTTTGAACTACACATTTTTTAGGAATTTCAAATTATTTTGCCACTTTATAATTTGAAAAAAAACGTCTTTCTAATTGGGTATCTTAATTGAAGCTGCTGTTGGAACTTTCACGAGATTTTATAGAACTCGTTAAATGTTTCATCACTAAAAATAAAAAATAAAAAAAAAATCACCACACCCAACCAACCCCCGCCACGTCCTTAGTTTAACCCTCTCGGCTTCATTGTCATTCCAACGTGAAGTTATTCAATATTTTTGGAATTGTGTTTAAGGTAAAAGGTAAATTTAAAAAAAAATTAGGGTTCTTTTGAGAAGTGAGTTAATTTTTTAATTTTTTGATTTTTTTTAATTATTTTAATTTGAGACTAAAAAGCTTAGTTTAGAAAAAATTTTAATCTTTTTTATGAATAAAAGAATATAATAATTATGGATTAGATGTGATATTTTGTCTTATTGAACTAAAAAGTATATTTATTTTTTGTGACTAAAATAATCATAAAAGTCCCAACTTTTGCTTCCTAAACGAAGCCAAAATGACCAATTTTAATTAGAAGCTATAAATTTTGAATCCACGGAGCCTTTTTTTTTTTTTTTTTTTTAATCCCCGGAGCCTTTTTTTTTCTTTTTTTTTTTTTGACCATAAAATTTTAGTATTGATTCAATCCGGCCTATTATCAAGTGAGAGGGTGATTTATGATCTGGAGTTAGGCCGAGGTATCGACCGAGCAGGTTGAGAGCCCAGCAGTGCATTGGGCCGAGATGATCGACCGTTCTCCCAGAGAAGGGCTGCCAGAACTTGGGCCGGGCAGAACTTGGTCCGAGTGCGTCCCGCCCCAGACTGTAAAGAAGCAGCTCGGTAAGGCAGAGCTCGGTCGGACCAGGATGCTCGGTCCGAGATTAGCCGAAGCCAGTCAAGCCGAGTGACCGGCGCCCGGAAAGGCACGGTCGGCCGAGGTTACCGTTTGACCGACGTGAAAGCTGACCACGGGTTGCTTCGGGCTAGGCTTTGCCGAGATGCCGCCTAGCCCGGTCCCCCCTTAGAGTTTGCCAGGGAAGCGTTTGGGTATGAAGCACGGCACGGCGCAGCAACGCATAGGGCAGCTCGGCTGCCGAGCTCCAGCTGTGATGACAGCTCGGCTGCCGAGCTCCAGCTGTGATGACAGGCAGATGAGATTAGGTGATGTTCAGCAAGGTTTGTGCTGACAGATGGGATAGCAGAGTCACGTGTCAGGAGATGACTAGGAGTGGATATGGGGCGCAGAAGGTATATAAGCATGTCTGCGCCCCCCATACGCGACACACGAACATCTCTGTAAGGAATTCTTACACTCAAACACTCTCTCCCTTCTCTCTATCCATCCTAAGGTGTGTGTTAACTTGATCGTCGGAGGGTTTTTCCGGCCACACACCGCCGGGTAGCTCACCGTTACTTGCTCGCAGGTGATCGGACATCGACGGAGCTCGGAAGAAAGGAGTACGGGCTTGCCGGAATATTTGCTCCCCGTACATCAAGGTTGATTTCTAAGACACAAAACAAATCTTCTATAAAAAAAATAAATAAATAATACTTTTTTCATCTCAAAATATTAATGTCATATTCTATTTTTTATTATTTAAAAACGTAAGTCCAATTTTAAAAATTAAAGACTAAAATAACATGAATTTCTTATTTTATCTTTCTTTTTAATTCATTAATAACACAAAAAGTAAAATTATTATATTGATATTCTAAAAAAATGTAAAATAAAAAGATACTTTTAAAAAATTAATATTTTTAAAGTGTAATAATTGTATTACCAAAAAAAAGTTAGATCCCTCCAAAATAGTTATTATTTTGAGATGGAAAGAGTATATAATTTATTTTTAGTTTCTTATATTTTTTTGTAAGAGACCTTGTTTGTTAGATTTTCAATTTTTTTTATTTTTAAAACTAAAACTAAATTGGTAAAAATATTAAAAATAAAAATATTTATTGTATTATTTTCATATGATTTTCTAATTATATGGACGAATATTTGTGTGAGTAGTAAATCGACTCGCGGGTTTGTGGGTTTGTGAGGGAGGGAGGGTCATTTCATCTGATCTCATGTCTTGAGTGTCTGACAAGAGATGCTCTCTCTCACATGGTGATGTTTATCCTTACAGGATCAGGACGCTAGTATACTCGTACTTCATGCTTATGATGATCTACCACCGGGGGTGGATGTCAAGTTCGACTCTGCGGGCGCAAAATATTGGATAATTTTGAGTGGTTTTCTCTAGAGATTTTGCACTTTATTTCAAGTAAAATTTGATTTTATTGGAGATGGTCGATGGATGATTTAAATTAGTGTATTTTTTATCTTTTTATAAAAAAATATGTAAAAAAATAAAGAAGTAATGTGATAAAAAAAAGATAAAAAGATGAATTATTTTGAGTATGTCAAACTTGACCTTATCTAAATTTGCGGATATAAGTTTATTTTGGAAAGATGGTAAAAAGTAATTTTTTGGCTTTTAACCAAGCTTTTGGCTTTTTTTAAACAAATGATTTGGGAAGTTGATAAAAAGTGACTTTTGACTTTTTTGATTAATGTTTGTTTATGATGTTAAATCATAATAAAATGACCAAACTACCCCCATTTATTTAAAATATTTACGACTTCACCTATGTAACACATTTTGACCCATGAAGGTAAAATTGTAATTTCACCGTTGACTAAAAACCAACTTCCCAAATGAAAAAAAAGCCAAAAAAGCCAACTTTTGGCTTTTGCCACTAACCAAAAAAGTGGCTAAAAACTATGTTGCCAAAATAAGCCTAAGTGAACAAACAGAAAAAGAAAAAAAAACAAATAGAGACAAAAATAAAAATGGGAGAAAATAAAAAGAATAAAAAGAAAAGAGGAAGAAAGATGGGATCATGGAATGATGGGTGAGAAAAAGAAAAAGTAAGAGAGAGAAGCGGGAAAGTAGAAAATGTACATGTAAGACATTTTTTGAAAATAATATATTTTAGCCATTATTTTATAATTTGAACAGATCTGAGCCATCTAAATGTCCTAATATAACAAAAATATGTTAAAGATTCAAAAGTCGTCCTGCTTTATTATATAGATATTGATTATATATTACTTTAGTCAACATATTTCATTCATAAACATTGTCACTACATGATTAGTTTGGAATACCACAACACAATGTAAATTATTGAATAATTACCATAACTTATTATTTAATTTTCAATAATCTAAAAAGCACAAAAGAGATATATTGATATAGGCTTATTTTGGAAAGATGGTAAAAAGTAGTTTTTTGGCTTTTAATCAAGCTTTTGGCTTTTTTTAGACAAATGATTTGGGAAGTTGATAAAAAGTGACTTTTGACTTTTTTGATTAATGTTTGTTTATGATGTTAAATCATAATAAAATGACCAAACTACTCTCATTTATTTAAAATATTTACGACTTCACCTATGTAACACATTTTGACCCATGAAGGTAAAATTGTAATTTCACCGTTGACTAAAAACCAACTTCCCAAATGAAAAAAAAAGACAAAAAAGTCAACTTTTAACTTTTGTTACAAATCAAAAAAAATAACTTTTAACAAACTTTCCAAAATAATCCATAATAATGGCACATCACAACAATCCTTCTTTTTTTTTTTTTTTTTTTTTTCTAGGAACTAATTAGCTTAGGCAACAAACAGTTTCATTAGTGTAAGTGGCCAAGTTTAAGTCAAACTAACCTTGCTTAGCTTCCGAGAAAGAGATTTTACTTAGTAATTGTACCATAGCGATATTAGTTTAACTCAAGCCTCTCATTTAAAGTTTTCTAAACCGTCTAAGTGTTCAATTCTCAAATCCAACAGGATGAATTTGAATTCCATTTAATTTTCATCCTCTCTCTCTCTGTCTCTCTGAGCTCTGCTTTACCACGAGTTAGTGACTGATGAGAGAAAGGGGGAGATCTTAGAGAGAGAGAGAGAGAGAGGGGCTTTGGTTTGGTTTGTCTCTCTGATGATCACCCGTGAGTTCTTCTCCGTCCGATTTTTTAGTTCTTATTTACCATAAATGGAAATTTAGATTCTCAGATCTATGAATTTCAATCTGTTTCTCGTGTTTTTTTTTTTTTTTGGTTGTTGTTGTAATCATCACCTTTTGATTTGTAGATGATAACTCAGCAAGCAATTACCTTCTGTTTCCTTATCCAGTAATCTTTTTCTTTTTGTCGGGAAAATTTGAGTTATTTTCTGCTCTTCTCTCTCAGATCTAATCTGAAAGACTAGGAGATGTAATATTTTATCTTCTCATTTTCCACGAATTCTTAGATCTAGTTGCGCTCAGTCAGTTATCAAGAGCTATTACGCGATCTAGTTCAAATAAAACAATATTTTTTTTGTTTTTGTTTTTGTCGATTTTGAATTTTTAGTTAGTTTAGCTTGTAAATTTCTATAGTTTATCAAAGTTGTTTATGGAGCTGAATCGAATCAGTTTATGGTTTTTGTGTTTGTCGACTTAAGTAGTAACTCTCCATCCTTTGGGATTGTTTGTGTATTTTTAGTATCGTGTTTTTGTTTTTGTTTCTGTTTCTGAAGGATGAATTACTTCCCCGATGAGGTTTTAGATCACGTATTTGATTTCTTGACGTCGCACCGAGACCGCAATGCGGTGTCTGTGGTGTGCAAATCATGGCATAGAGTGGAAAGGTTTAGCAGGGAAAGGGTGTTCATAGGGAATTGTTATGCGATCAGCCCAGAGAGGTTGATCGAGAGGTTTCCTAGGCTTAGATCGCTTACCTTGAAAGGAAAGCCCCATTTTGCTGACTTCAATTTGGTCCCTCATGGTTGGGGAGGGTTTGTGTACCCCTGGATTGAGTCAATGGTGAAGAGAGAGTAGGTTAAGATTCTAACCTTAAGTACAATGAAGACCTCTAGATGCAACGGTAATAATAGGATCTCCTTAAGTGGAGATACTGGGGGGGAGACCTTAGTTGACATGGGATGTGGTAGTGGGAGCGGTCTGAATCTGGAGGAGCTACGGTTGAAGAGAATGGTGGTCTCCGATGAGAGCCTTGAACTACTTTCTCGATCTTTTGTTAATTTCAAATCTTTGGTTTTGGTTAGCTGTGAAGGGTTCACCACCGATGGTCTTGCTGCCATAGCTTCCAATTGCAGGTATATATTATTAATTGAATGCTTAGTATGTTTGCATCACAGTTCTGTTTGTGTGTTCTTTTCTTTATTTGGATATGGCTGCCAATTTATTTTTACGTGATTTACTTTATGCTTTGGTAGGCTTGTGTTTATTTATTAAACAAACAAAAAAATTATGATGTGCTACTATTTGAGATTATATGTATTTTGTGGCGCATGTAATCTTTGGAAGATATTGTTGAGCTCATAGGAAGGTTAGTTATGTTAGTGATAGTAGCTGATATTCATGGTAGCTGATATTTGATTGAAACCACGTGCTGTTGATTATTGGATTGTCAAATTTTGGAACTTTAAACTTAGTAGCTGTTTGGGAGAACTAAAAAAGTGCAATTTTGTACATACATACACTTTTTTAGGTCATATCAATCAACATTTATCAACATTTCTTCTCTATTTTTCTAATCACTTTCTCTACTTTTTTACACATTTTTTTATACAAAGTCAAAAATGCACTTATTTAAAACATCCCAAACCACCCTTAGTTTCAAAAGTTCAGTTATTGCTTGATCAGTTCTTCGGGCACTTCATTTGTTTTTTGTTTTTCAAAAATATATATCATTGGCTTGCTGTGTTTTATGTTACAATAGACCTGTTTACATATCTCTGTGAATTCAAATGCACTCATTTATAAGTAGTGAGCTTTTTTATTTATAAATTTATTATCTTGAATGAAGCCATTGAGAAAGATAAGGGACCTCACCGCATCTTATCCAGAATAGTTTATCAATGTTTCTTAGAAATACGGTTGGCCATGAATGTTGGCTTCAAACTCTAATAACTTTTTCTTTCTCAAATTTTGAACTTTGATTGAGCTTGCTGGCATTGGTCCTTAAGAATCATGATGGTTGTTTTGGTTTTAAGTATGACTGAATGAGGAGTAATGATAAGCACATTGCATTCCACTCTCAGATTCTCACACTTCCTTTGTGGGGCTCAAAGACCTAAAAAAAGGAATGTGGAAGGCTTAAAGTGGAGTGTTAATGTGATTGCTCCTGAGAGAATGGTACTACTAATAAAACTCTTAATTTGCCTTGTCTGCAAGCTGATAATAATGGTCATACCTTTAATGAAGTATCATAGTAGATGGGTCGACGAATTTGACCGACATTGTCTCTGATCTGACTTTGGTCTGTTCTTTTTCCCCTTACTTGATGATCTAGGTTTCTCAGGGAGCTAGACTTGCAAGAAAATGAAGTTGATGATCACAGAGGCCAGTGGCTTAGTCGCTTTCCTGACAGCTGCACGTCACTTGTCTCTTTAAATTTTGCATGCCTCAAAGGAGAAGTTAACTTGCCAGCCCTTGAGAGACTGGTGGCAAGGTGTCATAATCTTAGAAGTCTGAGGTTAAACCATGCTGTGCCACTGGCTACTCTTCAAAAGATTGTGGCACAAGCGCCCCAGTTGGTGGACTTAGGTACAGGAGCCTTTGTTCATGATTTGGATACAGAGACTCGCTACATACTAAAGAGTGTCATCACGAAATGCACATCAATTAGGAGTTTGTCAGGGTTCTTGGAGGTTGCTCCCCGTTGCTTGCCTGCTATCTATCCGATTTGCTCGAACCTGACCTCCCTGAACTTGAGCTATGCTCCAGGGATTCATGGTTCTGAGCTTATAAAGCTAATCGGTCATTGCTCCAAACTTCAGCGATTGTGGGTCTGTTTTCGTAACCCTCCGATAATTGAATTTTGGACTTCTTTTTGCCCCCCTTAATTTTGTGATAATTACAGTTTTGCATCATTTCTACAGATATTGGATTGCATTGGAGATCAAGGTTTAGGTGTTGTGGCTTCCATTTGTAGAGAACTCCAGGAGTTGAGGGTTTTCCCATCTGATCTTCATGGGGTTGGGCATGCTGCTGTAACTGAAGAGGGCTTGGTGGCAATATCTGCTGGTTGCCCCAATCTTCATTCATTGCTTTACTTCTGCCAGCAAATGACCAATGCTGCCCTCATAACTGTGGCCAAGAATTGCCCAAATTTTACCCGTTTTAGATTGTGCATCCTCAACCCGACAAGACCAGACCCTGTGACTATGCAGCCACTAGATGAAGGTTTTGGGGCAGTAGTTCAATCTTGCAAGGGTCTCAAGCGCCTGTCGCTCTCTGGCCTCCTGACAGACCAGGTGTTCCTTTACATTGGAATGTATGCTGAGCAGCTTGAAATGCTTTCCATTGCATTTGCTGGAGACAGTGATAAGGGAATGCTTTATGTTTTGAATGGCTGCAAGAAGCTTAGAAAGCTAGAGATCAGGGATAGCCCATTCGGCAATGTGGGACTTCTAACGGACGTGGGAAAGTATGAAACAATGCGATCCCTTTGGATGTCGTCCTGTGAAGTTACCCTTGGAGGCTGCAAGATGCTTGCAAAGACGATGCCGAGGCTCAATGTGGAAATCATAAATGAAAGCGGCCGGGCTACCCTTGATGATAGACAAAAAGTAGAAAAGATGTATCTGTATCGGACGTTGGATGGGCCGAGGAGCGATGCACCAGACTTCGTGTGCACATTGTAGCTGCATCAGTGGGTGTTTTATTACTGGTTCAGCCATGCCTATTTTTTGTTGTTTTGAATTAGTTGTACTCTATTTAGCCAAACTGATGTATGGATTTTTACTTTGATGTTGAATTTGGGTGTACGGTTGGTTGTTGGTTTTATTGATATAGATCTGCTATTCCACATAGATCTTTTTAATAATATTGGTGAAGCCCATCCAGGGTGAATGGGTGATTGAATATTGATTACCTTTGGGGCAAATCTCATTCGGAACTTCATTTTTCCTCTTGGTTTAGCCCACTTGTGGATAATTCTTATTATTATATTTTTGGATAAAATAATTCTTATTATTTGACAGTTGAGTGTATAATTTTTATTTTTTTTAAATTAAGCATATAAGTTTGAGTTAAATAGGCATTAAACGTGTTATTTGGTCTCCCACCTATTAATCTCGCTATTAGATGGTGGTTAACATTTTCATCGAACGTATTGGCAGAGAATCAAATGAGAAGAAAATCTCCATAGTATCTGATTTGTTTTATTTTAATGACATAGATGATGGATGGTTTTCTAAGCCTAGTTTAAATTGATACAAAATTGTTCGAGTCTGACTAGATCTAATCTCTCTTCTTGAGTTTATTACCTAAGCTCAATTAAATCTCAATAAATTAAACAGAGGTTAAACTTGAGTTGATTAATACTTCTAATTTTTTGGAGTTAGGCTGTGTTCGTTTTTTTTAGAGTAGTGTTACATCACATTTTATTTATCATGTCCTCATAAATTACCCAAATCGTTCTCACAAACAAACCCGAATTGAATTTGTATTTGAAAATTTAGCTCAACATCCGTATCAAATTTAAAATTATATCATTCAAATTTAATTATTTTTTAGAGTGGCTCGAGTTAATTCTGCCTCCGTTTGGGAAGTGAGTTGGCTTTTTGGCTTTTTGACTTTTTTGGCTATTTTAGCCTGGGCTAAAAAGCTTGGTTTGGGAAGGACTTTTTGGCTTTTTGGCTTTTTTGACTTTTTTTGTGAGAGAATAATGTAATGATTATAGGTTGATGTGATGTTTTGTTTGTTATGGCTAAAATAGCCTATTTTATTTTTTGTGGCTAAAATAGCCAAAAAAGCCTGAAAAAGCCCTTGCCAAACGGAGGCTCTGTCTGAATTGCAATCTTAGGGGTTGTTTGGGATGTCTTAAATGAGTGTACTTTTTGACTTTTTATAAAATATGGGTTGAGTATGGGTTGAATTTGAAGTAATGTAATAGAGAGATAATGTGACTTAAATAAGATGATTTGACTTAAATAAAATAGTAACTTTTTAACTTTTTAAATTATTTTAAAGATGCTAAACTTAACCTTAATTTTGAACACTTGCAACTTTTGCTTGGAGGCCCTCGAACTTTTAAAATTACAGTGTAAAATCCTGGGAGACCAACCAAAAGAGACGATGACGCTGGTATTTCTGAGTTTTGTTTTTAAAAAAATTAATAATAAACAAACACACAGACAGAGAGGAGGGATAAGAAGTGAGAAATAGAAGAGAGAGAGAGAGAGAGTGAGGGCCATGGGCTTTCGCCGAACCGCAAAGACGACGCAACCACCTCCATTTCCCAAGAGGCGCAAAAGGAGGAAGATCTTTCTTAATTTCACTCCATTAAAATCTTCATTTCATCATTCTTTTAATAAATTGTTCTTCAACTTTACTAATCAATTTCAAATCCAACTATATATATGTAAGCATAAGATCCGAAGATTGATTGATATACATGCTTATGGAAGATCATCACCGAACATGAATTCAATCTTTGATGATGGTGAGCCTCGACGATCGGACCTTCAATTGTGTTTTGTTTTCCTTATTCTGATTTAGCTGTTGCTGTTATTGTTTGATTCGATTGTTTATATATGCTTTATTTATTTTTATTTTTTGGCTTTTCAAAACGTTGCTTCAAAGTAGAGATGATGATGATGACGACTCAATCCAATTTTGGAAAGGGTCTTGTTTTGTGTGGTGAATGTGTGCCGTGCAATTAAAAGCCCCCTTTCCTCATCTCTTTGTGTTTCGGCCGCCGATCGATTCGCTTTTGGATTTCAGTGCAAACTATTCTTCTTTACATGTCGATCGATGGTTGATTGGATTATGTTTTGTTTGTGTGCTCTTCGTATTTCAAAATATTAGTGCATTTGCTGTACTAGATTCACATTTTGATGGAAGAACTAAGATGAGTAACAACATCACACTAGTGTCTCTTCTCTTTTAGAATTCTTCATCACTGACAGTGGATTGTTTTCTATTTTTCTGTTGTCACAAACTGTTTTCAACAATGATAGAGACCATTAATTTTGAAACTCTAAAAAAGATCACTCAATAAAAAAAGAAAAAAAATACATCAAGGTCAAAACATCAAATCATTTATGATGGGCCCACTGCCACATCATTAGTGGTAGCACTAATTAGTGCTCTCACTCATTTTCCAACTGTTTTTCCTTCTTATTCCTGCGCCAATTGATTTAAGACATTTATGTTTCTGTGTATTTTGTAGGTAGAAAGTGATCTAGTAGTGTCCAGTGGTTTCAAGTTCTGGTTTGGGAAAAAAAAAAGAAGATTTTTTCTTAAAGCAGACACATACACAATAACCCCATTTAGCTGCATATGTTTTAAAGTGCTTCCTCAGATTTTTACAAACACTCTAATAGTTCATTTTTGTTTTGTGTTTGACTTCAGGCATATGCATTGATTCTTTGCACAACCATGAATCCTTTGTGTATCATTGCTTACTGACATGGTGGTCAGAAGATTTGTCCTGTCCGTTGTTTCTGGGGTTTTAGTATGTACTTGGGTTTATCGCCGCATTCTTGGAAGGATAGTGGTAGTTGAAACGAGGATGAACTCTATCTATAGATACCTAGTATTAGCTTCTTATTGGATTGGGAATTGCCTTTCATTGAACTTTTAGCTGAATTTATAGGGTATTTCAATTTCTACAGTGAATTTTTAGCTGAAGTTAGGGGGGAATTTCAGTTTCTGCATTAATTTAGTGGCACGATAGGAGTTCACAACTTGGGTTTCATGCGTTTGTGATGAGGAGTTTCATTTGGCAAAACTAAGCAGAGATTTGCCTATGCACGGCAGCAGGAAAGGAGACCATCAACGAGAACTTTTTATGCCTTTTTAAACGAGATAATTATTTGTTACTGCAAAACTTAGTGATGGGCTTGCCACAAGTTTCATCCAGTGAATCTGCTGAGGAGGCTAAAGAGTCTTTGAGCACATCTGTGCATAGTCGACCTCGGTTTGTTAATGTGAGCACTTGTGATTTGGATGGAATGCATGTTGGAAGCATTAGCCGAACTGTTGGAGATTCCTTATGCTCTTCTTTGGGAGATTTTCAGGAAACAACCTCCTTGGAGCAATCAAAGTTGTCAGATGATTCCTTTAAGTGTAAAGGGGCCATGGATGTTGGATCCAATGTTCAAGAATTGAAAATTGGTTCTTTGGACGAACTGGGGTGGTTAACACCTAACACTGGTCAGAATATTCAGAGTCCTGCCTCTAGGATCGTCGGGTTTGAGTGTGGTAGGAAGAATTATTTTTTTGATGGATTAAATGAGGTTTCAAATGATCATGTTCATTCTTCTTCTGGGGTTGGTATCACACTTAATGAAACTGAGTCCAGTGGGTCACTGGTCAAGAAGCGATTGTTGTCATCGAGTAGTATGCTTTCTGCAGATCAATTGGGTGTTGATCCTCTAGATATTAGCTGCCGCAACTTTCAAGTAAACTCCCCTGGTAGTTGTGGGGTTTCTGTGGCTCAAGATTATAAGAAAGCAAATATTGGAAGTAGAAACCATTTGACGAATCAAATCTGGTCCGTATGTAATTGTTCAGAAAGGAAGGATATGTTATACGATTATGGTAGACCAGACTCCATTTTTTTCACTGATGGCCCTTTAGTAGAGGACAAGGAGGTGTTACCTTATACTTGTTTATCTTCACCTGGACTAGATCCTTTCAAAAATTTAAGAAAGGTAAGAACCCGGACTGGGGTGATATCCATATCCCCAGAAAAGGTGATGTCGTCCCCTCTTGCTTTGTCTCCTCTTGGTCCAAAGTTTTCCGAAACAATGAAAGCTGCAAGAGGATGCAGGAATGTCAGGAAAGAGATTGAGGGTGATTATTTAACCTTTAAAAAGGTGGCACGCTCCCTTGACAAAAATATCTCTGGCATTATCTTTGCCCCTGAAGAAGATAATTTTTCAAGGGCAAGTAAACCATTTGAAAATATTGATCTTTTGCAAAAAGAGTCCCATTCGTCTTCCCTGGAAAGTAATAGTGGAAAAAGTTGGCCTTTGTCTCATGATTCCATACCCCACTGCATGAAGTTGGGTAGAAGTTTGAGAGGACTTCCTGTTAGGAGGTCATTGGTTGGTTCGTTTGAGGAATCCCTGCTGTCTGGCCGGTTGTCATCTGGAAAATTCAGTCAGGTTATATTTATGTTACACTATATCTGTAGATTTTCTTGTATGCCCTCTTTATCTTTTCATGTAGTCTTGAGAGTTCACTTTCCAATGTTGTTGATATGAGTGTCAAATGCCCATTTTTGGATCTTGATTGTGCAGAGAATTGATGGCTTTCTAGCTGTACTAAGCATTACAGGAGGCAGCTTCTCTCCAAAATCACAGAAACTTCCTTTTGCAGTAACCAGTGTTGATGGAGATAACTTCTTACTGTACTATGCATCCATAGATCTTAGAAGAACTCCATTGAACAATTACAGATTCCAGAATTTGAAAAGAGACCTTAGTAATGATGATTCACAAGGTGCTAAGAGTTGTTTGCGCATTCCAGTGAAGGGGCGCATACAGCTGGTTATACTTTTCTCCTTCTAACTTATCTATTATTTGGCCCATATGCATTCAGTCTATACAAGAATGCTTTGCGCTTAAAGTACAAATTTATAGCGTGATATGTTACTGTACCTATGTGATTACCTGCTGTTTAATTTACCTATTGTTTCAGCTTCCTTGACATGCTGTGTGACATTTTATTTAGGCAGTTGGTTTAATAAGCCGAGCCTCTGTTGGTGTTAATTTTTCTTGTTTATTCATGTTCTTTTAACATTGATGAGCCAAAGTTGACAAGGTTCTCCTTGTCTCCAATGTTGCATATCATTTGGCTTGCGAGAAGATTGTTGGAACTTGACTCATTATATAAACAAGTGAAGCTTGAAGACATTTTGAAGCTTGTTAGTTTTTTGAGTTTGGCTCGGACTTAGCTGGACAGAGCCATACACATGTTGGAATATATGGGAAGAAAAAAAAAGAAGCAATCTACTTAAGGTTGCCTCGTGATTAACTCAATTGGACACAGTTAATTATTCAAGCCAAGCTTGAATAATGCAGTATTCAGCTCAGCTTGGCTTGATTACCACCCTAGTACCTTTTACAAGATTACCAGTGTTGTTGCTTGCTCATTTCAATTTGTTGTGTTGTTTGTTCTATTGAATATTTTAGTGACATAAGTTGTGGATAGATGGTGAAACAATTGGTCCTCACTTTCTATCAATCTGGATGTTTTCTCAGGTACTAAGCAACCCGGAAAAAACACCTCTTCATTCCTTCTTTTGTAACTATGATTTGAGTGACATGCCGGCTGGTACCAAGGTAAGTTGAAACAAATATTTCATTCATATCAGATGTTGATTATTGCTTTTAATTTTAACTTTTCTGCAATTTCCTAAAAAACTTGATATTTAGTCTGCCTGATCACAATCTTAGAAGTGTTTGTGTTTCTCTGAGTTTCTCACTGCCAATCACATGTATTGACCTTACCTCCTCAACTGTCATTTTAAAGGCCTGTTCCTACACAGGTATATCACCTCAAGATCTCCCCCCTTCTAAAGAAAACAGAAAAAGGAAGAAGTAGGTCCCTGGTGGCACTGGGTAGGTACAGTGTTGAAGCCGAATAGGATAATCATGACTTGAATCTTTTGTATGAAAGGAGGGCAAAATGAAAACAAAGAATTAATAGAAGATAAAAGAAAAGGTGATTCTCTTGTGATAATTTGAGAATGCTGCAAGTAGTAAATGGATATTGAGTCTAATATTTATGTGTTGGTCAGAAATTGTGGGTGTTCTATTATGCCTGCACATGTATTGCAAAATGGAGAAAAATGGAGTCACACAGTAGAAAGATAATCGGGCCCAATAATTACCAAATAACAGGAAAATATATCAGGGACCAAAGTCTTGTAAGCGTTGATGCCCACTTCAAATGCATATATGACAAAGAATTGTTTATCAGCACATCATTGCATGCACTGTTGTTTTCTTAATACACATTTATTTTATTTACTTCTAGCAGTAAGACTGGAATTGAATTCAGTCGGTAATTATTTTTGTATCCTTGTTCAATTTGGAGTAGACATTCTTGCGTCAGAAGGTTACCCTAGCCGGTTCTGGCCCAACTTCAATGCGGGTGACAGGAGAGCACAGAAATTTTGATACGAACTACAACGATAAGGTGACTCCCTTGGAAAGAAGTCATCCTGACCAAAGTATCAAAGAAAGTGAGGGCTCTAATTCGATAGGTTCAATGGGTATAGCAAATTTTTCAGAAGAACACTATCACATTGGAAATATAGGTTTCCCTTCCCTTATAGATCAGAATGAATGTGACAACACTCTGTGCCACAGAACTGGTCACAAAGATTTCAGTTGGCCAGATTTATGTCATGAAGCCAAAGATAAATCAGAACATGCTTGTTCGAAGGTCAATGAGAATGCTGCGAGTGGTGGCACTCTACGTTATGCTCTTCATGTCCGTTTTCTATGCCCTTTCTCTAAGAGAAGTGTCATATCAGTTCAGAGGTGCAAATCTGATCCTCCATCTGTGCGACAGAAAACAAAGTTAGTTGCCGATAGGAAAAGGAGATTTTATTTATACAATGATATGAGGGTTGTGTTTCCTCAACGCCATTCTGATGCTGACGAGGGGAAGGTATGTTGTTCAATTTCACTTTGTAGGGCTTACGACTGTTTTTAGACCTGATTCTGTTCTTTTTTTACTTCTTATTATTTTATTTTTTATTTTTTTTGAGGTATATGGTGTTTATGCTTCTTATATTGCAAATGTTACGAAGTGTGTGTTTCATCAAAGTCTGCAATGTCTTTATAGTGCTAGCGTGCTGAAGATCTGAACAGGAAATAAATGAGGTCTCTTTTTTTAATATCTAAGCTTGTGTACACGTGTGACATTTTTTTGTGTGTTTCATGGCAGTTGAACGTGGAATACCATTTTCCAGCAGATCCAAAATACTTTGATATCAGCAACTGACCACGGTCACATCCTCTCTCCTGAGTGTATGGTTCATTTTCTATGTATATACCAATAATAACACATTCCGTGGGACATATCGTCTTGTCTTGAAATGGCGGCAACACAATTTCACCTCTGAAGAATTTTAGGAACTCACTAATAATTTGATGAATAAAATGTTGTTTCTTTTGACCTCCTAATGGAAATAGTGGCAAATGTAGGAGAAGTCCTGTTTCAGGGCAATTTGTTGTCTTAATTAAGGTGGAGTGGTTACAATTTGAATGCATGCCCTAAAATCCTTGTCTACTCTCTGTATAGTTTGTGATCACATATGAGCTTGTAGGGCTAGACTTCAGATTTTTTTCAGGCCCGTTTGTAATTGTGGGTTGGGTTGTGGAAGAGAATTTGAAGTCTGATTTGAAATTTCAAATACAATATATTCATGCAGGTATATATATATTAGGATAAATTGGTAATAAATCTAAAAGGGGGAAGAACTCAATGTTCAATCAAGAGCTTGTTTGAGATTTTTTAAATAAGTGTATTTATTTATATAAGTACACTTGTTTAGGTCATATTAATTTTTTTTTTTTTTACATGTTTTTTTATGTTAAAAAGTATATTTATTTAAATTATACCAAACAACTTTTAAGTTAATTTATATATATATATATATATATATATATATTTATGTTAAGAATTTATAAAATAAACTATTTAAATTATGATTGCACGTGAGTGAGGATTAAAAAGGGAAAGTTTTGAGAAGATCCCAATAGGATAGTACTTTCATAATTTTTCATGCAAAGATCACATATGTTATCTATCCTATCAAATCAATCATTTAAAAATATCAGCGTAGCATACGTACAGACATTCTGAAAAGAAACATTTAAAACAAATATTTTAATTTAAACGTGATTCGCTTCACATTTATATATTGAAAAATGAGTGGGAGCATTAATTAGTATTATCACTAATGATGTGACAATAGGTTCTATTATAAATGATTTGATGTTTTGATTTTAGTGTTGTATTTTTTTTTAATTAAGTGTGATGTCATTAATGATCTTTTAAAATTTTAAAATTAGTATATATTCTGGCGCACGTCCTCTCTCTCTCGTAGTGAGTTATGCACAAAAAATACAAAGAAATTGTCTGTTAAGACGCAGTGGCAGCCATACTCAAAAAGAAAAGAGCAAGTTCAGTGGTAGCACACATTCTCTCTCTTCTCTCCACTGTCCAATGTCCTTTCCAGAGACCACGTCCTCTTTTCTCCTCTTTCTGATTCGTACCCTCCCTCTATCCTAACAATGCCCTTTTCTTTTTTACCCTTCTGCCCCTTCTCTTTTTTTCTCTTCTTTTACTTTTTTTTAGACGTATAGGTTTCATTTATTTTGGAGTGTAATTGATGGATTTTAATTAAGACGGAAGTGGAGTTATTTAATATTATGTTTGTTTGTAGAGTGCGAGAAAAGATTAGAATAGAAGAGGGAAAGATGGATGTTGGAAGAAGAATTGGAATGGAGGAAATGGAGGTAGTATTAGAAAAATAGTGAGGGAATTAGAAATTTTTTTATTTTTTACATATTGAGAATTTTTTTTAAAATATTAATATTTAATTTTTTTTATTTATTTTATTATTTTATATAAAAATAATTTAACAATTCTTACATTAACAACTATCATCAAAACAAATATAATTTTATTTAACCCCTCACTATGAATTTTCTCACTATAAATCTCCTCTATTCTACCTCTAAAAACAAACAGGATAATAGTGAAAAACCAAAAAAAAAAAAACAAGGATAATTATCTACTGCTGCTTTTTATTTCCAATCGGCAGGCAATATTTCGATTTAATGATCAGCAGGGCTTTTCCTTTCCTTTCTTTTCCTTTTCTTTCCTTTGTGTGTCTAAGGACTCTCCGTCTCTAAATTATTCTGTTCTCTTATCCTAAATCATTTATAATCATTAGATATGTCTTAAGATTTTTATATTTTGAGATTCTCATATGATCCAATAATTATGAGTGATTTGAGATAGGATGATAAAATTATTTAAAAACAGAAGATCCTTATTGCCTTTGTGTATCAATTTTTATATCGTAGGCACGTTCCCAGCATCGCACTCCACCCTCATATGGTGTGTTGTAATGATCACATCACATACAATTAGTTTGAATTTACTAGAGTTAATCTCAATTTTACCATAAAATTCACTCATTATTAAATTAATTTATATTCATTTCAATAATTTAAAACACTCATTTTACATAATTGAATAATAAAATTAGTCATGTAAAAATTTAAATTTATCTAACATTGAGTGTGATTACTTATCCTTGTTTTTAAGAATATGCCATTCATTTGTTATAATATATGTATAAATTGATTATGTGATTATTTACATCTAATCAAGTTAATTTTTTTCATACATATATTCTTTTTAACTTGTTATATGAGATGAACAGTCCAAATTATTGATATAAATATAAATTAGTCTCATAATATGCTAACTTTACGAAGTTAAGATTTTTAACTTTAACAAATTTGAGCTCCATGTACAAGCATAAATACATATCATCTTTGTTTTAAAAGCACTGTAATGTGCCGTTAATTTTAATTTGACAATTAATTGACCCTACCACCATAGTAGTTTGTAATCAAACACCATTATGACTTGTAATTAACACTAAATCATAGTTTGTACATGGTATGCACTATAAATAAATATATTGTAGTATAACCCTAACATTTATAATAGATTTTCTTCTCATAAAAATGAGTTAACTATGTCAATTTTTTCCCTCTACACCAAGTCTTAAAAATTCATACAAGTAGAGAATTTTATTTTTTTTAATTTTTTTGGTGGTTTGGGGCTATACATATGAATTAAAGAAAATCATAAACAAAATAAAAAGTTTATAAGACCTTTGAAGGAAAAAAAAAAATCTATGGCATATGTAATGAGTAGGCTTAAAAATGTATCAATCCCAAGAGATTGCCTTGATAGTCTGGGTTTGGCCATGTGCTTCCCTTATGATTTTTGGTTTGAAATCTCCTAAGCACAGTTAATTTCATAAAATTAGTTATTTTGTTCCGATTTTAAAATGGAAAAATTGATCCCCAAATTAGTTAATTTACTTAACTAGATACCAAATTATCTAGAAAAAAATTAATGAAACATTTGCATCTAATCCCTGAAGAACTTGGTATTTAGACTATATTTAGTTGACGAATTTGAATGTATAGAAATTTAAAAAGAGAAAGAAAAAAAAAATATATGTATGCTATCATAAATGCAAATACGAAAGAATATTATTTATGGAAAAGTTAAATAAATTTGTAGGCAGTAAAAGGGCAGTGTAGTCCTTTCTGGTACAGCCAATCATATTTGCACACTTTTGTACATCAAATGCAATGCAATGCAGACAAACCAACAAACAAACAAAAAGCCTAAACACACACCCACACAAACCCCCCATCCATATCCATATCCATATCCATCCGCGTTCAAAAACCCACACACACGGAGTACCCTCTGTCGAATTCGAATTCGAATTCTAATTACTTTGGTGTCTCGTTCGGTGGGTGGGTCAACAATGGCGGACCCTGGTGGGGCATACGAATTCATGATAGAAGAAAGCAACAGGGGAAAAGCAAGTCCGTCGAGGAGAATGTTCTCGTGCCTCTACTGTCCACGCAACTTCCAGACTTCTCAAGCACTTGGCGGCCACCAAAACGCTCACAAGCGTGAAAGAGCTGCAGCTGCTGCTGCTGCTGCTGCTCGACGAAACGAACCACCTACGAATCAACTCCTTCAGAACCAGAACCAGAACCAGAACCAGCCTTATTGGCTGCTGGCCGAACCCACCACCACCATCCAACAACCCTTCTATGCCTCCACCTCCACCTCCTCAGCACCTCTTTGTGTTCGAGGCAGTGCTTCCACTCCTCTGTCTCTCTCTCCTCCTGCCACCGACGACTCTACTAACCCTGTAAATCTAGACCTCTCCCTCCGATTATAATCTCTCTCTCTCTCTCTCTCTCTAGGTTATATGTTTGTGTTTGATTACTTTTCTGAGGTTGGGTTTGGTTTTGGTTTAGTGGGGGTTTTGAGGCACTGACTGACCTAATTAACTATGCTCCTATGGAAGTAGCTAGAAATGGAGAGAATGGTTTTGATTAGTTTCCTTTTTTCGAATATATTTAATGATGATGATGATATATAGAAAGAAACTTAGCAAGTTGAAGTTTGAGTTAACTTTCTCTTCATTACATTACATCACGGATTTAACATATTGAAAGTGTTAAGGTTTACATGTTTTAATGATCATCATTAAACTTTCTTCAGATGCTTATATTATAATGATTAAACCTCTCTCACTCTCTCTCTTTCTCTCTCTCTCTCTGAATAGATATATATAGTTACATGGAAATGGAATGGAATGAATGTTGATGGTATATACTATATGGATGTATCTCATTTTGATATTGCATCGATCTCTAAAATAGGCCTATCTTCCGGCTGACAACTGGCCGGAATTTGAAAGGCCGGCGAGGGATGGTTCGTTGTTGGGTGGCTGCGTCTGCGTCTCAGTCTGAGTGTCTGTGAGAGTACACGTAACACTTTGGTGTTGCTGCGACTTAGCCAGCCGCCACCGTCACCGTCACCGTCAGATTTGTCCTTTTTGTTTCTTTTCTTTTCTTTTTTGTCTTTACCTTTCGAGTTACCCTTACCCAGCCCCAGCCAATCGTTTTTGGAAGCAACACCTAAAGAAAACAAAACCGGGGCTAAATTAAAGAGGTTTTTTTTTTTTTTTCCTTTTAAGAAAATGTTTTTAACTTAGGCCAAGTTTGGCATGATTGAAAAAAGATAAAAAGTTAAAAAGTCACTATCCTATTTAAGTCACATCATCTTATTTAAATCACATCACTTCTCTAACGCATCACTTCAAACTTAACTCAAACCCAACCCATATTTCATAAAAAGTCAAAAAATACACTTATTTAGTTTTCCCAAACTAGGCCTTAGCCTCTGTTTATTTAGACATGAAATATTTTATACTCAGAAATAATTTTTAAGTTAATTAATTTTATAAACAAATATTTTGAGTATATTTGGTTTGTGTTTTGAAGCATTTTTTGAAAGAAAATTTTTAAAAACATACTATTTGGTTACAAATTTTCTCAAAAAAAATTCAAAATTATTTCTCTCTATTATATATTAATCAATCATTTTTTCTCTCTCCTCTCTTCTTCTCAATTATTTTTTCTCTCACGTAAATTTACTCAATTATAACAAAATATCAAATCATCCTAAACTTCCAAACTCAAAAATTATTTTCAAAATATACAATCAAACAAATCAAAAAAAATTAAGCTCTCTCTATTTTTTATTTTTTTTAAAAAAAATTATTTCAAAACACAAATTAAACACACCCTTTATTTTTATTTTTCAGTTAATATGTATTAGCTATAAGTTAATGAAAGGCATTTTTTAACTTTTGAAACAACAACGTACTGAATGGTTGAAGTGACCTTCTAAACTTTGATTTGTGAAATTTTTAACAATAATGATTCATCCCACTAAAAACATCACCACTAATAGCACTAATGCATTAAAAAAGTAAAAAAAAAAAAAATACAACTCTAAAACCAAAACATCACATCATTAATGGCAGGACCCACTGCCACCTAAGTAGTGGGAGCACTAAAGCATTTTTCAATTTTTAATGATAAGGACTATGACAAAAATATATTATTTCTTCCGTTCTAAAATATTAATCTCTTATTTTATTTTTTATTATTTTAAAATATGAGTCTCTTTTCAAAAATTAAGTATAAAAATAATATAAATTTTTTATTTTACCCTTAAATTCATTAACAGTATAAAAAGTATAATTATAACATTGATATTTTTCAAAAAATATACTATCAAAGAATAATTTTGAAAATTTAATTTTTTTAAGTGTAATAATTATACTACTAAAAAAAGTTAAATTCTCCAAAAGAAACCATTGTTTTGGAATGGATGGAGTATTTATTTTCTACTCAATCGAATAATGAAAAATGTGTAAAATAGTTTTTAGCAAAATATAAAAACAAATAGAACCTTAATTAATAAGATGGTTCCCTTAAAGCTATATTTGGATTATGGTTGAAAATGAGCTTATTCAAGTTTTGATTTGATAGTGTAACGGATTTAAAGTTATATTCACGTCTCGTTTGGAAATAAATTATTTTAACAATTTTTTAATATTTTAATTAAAATATGATGTAAAAAAATTAGTACCTTTCAAATAATTTTTTAATTTTTTATGAAAATATGTGACAAAAAATAGAGAGAAAATAGAATCTTTAACCTTTTGGTATAAATTAAAGACCTTTTGGTTTTTTTATTAACTTTGACTTTTAGACTAAAACTGTTATATGCCAAACGAGGCTTCAAACTTAATTTGTTTACATAATGAGTTGATTTTGAACATGCTTTTCACCAGTCGAGTTAGAGTAACTTAATTTTTTACAATACATATAAAAAAATTATATTCTGGTTTAACTTATTTACATGATATCAAACAAATTTTAATGAAATATGAGTCAAGTTCGACTAATTTTATTCATTTGACAACCTTAATTTGGATAATAGATTTGGACAGAGATTAAAAGGAAAAATGTGAAAAATATGTAAATGAAATATGAATTATTATTTTTTATAATAGTGTCAAAGTATTTTTTTTCCCCTTGTATTATCATTGTTGTTGTTCAAGATGCTTACCTTTTATCAAAAAAAGAAAAATATTCTTTTAATTATTATTTTTTTAAATGATCTCATTTCATTTGTTTTACATAAAACTTATAATTCTGTATACCACAAAAATACTATTTCTTGGGTGATTGGTTCAAATTTTGAAAAAATTTACCAATGCTAAAAATAAATAAATAAATACATAAAATAAAATGCAGCACCTGATTATTCAGACATAAACGTACATAAAAACTCAATTCTAAACTACCAAACGAATAAATTAATATACATCCACTTTATAGTACATAAATGTGTAGGCTCATTTTAAGAAGTAGGTTAAAATTCGTTTCTCAACTTTTAATCTACTTTCTCTCTTGCATAAAAAAATTAAAAAGAAATCAAAAAATTAATTTTTAATCAGCTTTACAAAACACCGCGTAGTGTCAGTTTGAATAAAAATATGTTTGAGTGCCTAAATATGCATATATGTTCTCTCTTTTTTTCTTTTTCGTTTTTTGGGTAAAGGCCTTACAAGAGCAAATAAGCATATATATGTTAGGGAGATATACGTGTAAGTCTTAATAGATAAACTTATTATTCAATAGGTTCTGTAATAATTAATAATATTTTCATCAAATATTATTACAAAACGTCACTAATTATTGATTTGTAGTGACAATTTGAAAATTTTATTACAAAAAATATCATTAATTATAAATTTTGGAAACAGTTTAAAAAACTCGTCACAAAAAAATTATTAATTTTTAACTTTCAACAACAATTTAAAAATCTAGTCATAAAAAACATTACTAATTGTAAATTTTAATAATAATTTATAAAAATTGTGACAAAAAAAGTCATTAATGGTCAATTTTTAACATGTAAAAAATATCACAAATAATTATTTGTAGCAATAATTTTATTAAAATTTATTTTTAGTAAAACTTTGTTAGAATTAAATCTAATTATTATAAACTATTGATGATTTAACCTATATGCGTTGTATATGCGCCAGTGTGCTTGGGTATACTGAGATTAGAGCATATATTAGGGGGGGAAAAAACATGAAAAACAAATCACTTTGTTTGGTTATGTTTTTCAGGGAATATTTTTCAAAAAAAATTATTTTTTTATTTTTTCGTATTTTAATATTTTCAATAATTTTTTTTAATATTTTGAATTTTTTAAAAAAAATTTAGACACACCTAACATAAATATATTTAAAAAGTATAATATTTGTGAAAAAAATATTTAAAAAATACACTAAATAACAAAAAATACAAGAATTCAGTACATTTTTCTTATTTATATATATTTATTAATTTTTAAAAATATATTTTTCACAAATATTTTACTATTTAGATGTATCTAAAAAAGTAAAAAAAAAATATTTAAAATTTTAAAAATATTCACTAAAAATAAAAATACACAAAAAAATTTTAAAAATTAAGGAAAATAAGAAAAAAAATGAGTTGTTTTATTCATATAAAGTGAATTTTATACTCTCATCTCATTTAATATTGTAGTGTTGACCTAGTCGATTAGGCTAAATCATTTTTTATTTGATTGATTCGTTGGTTTAACCGCGATTTTAATAATTTTATCAAAATATTTTTAGATTCAATGTAAGTGATATAATCTATATATTATATAAGAAAAATAAGATTTTCAATGAGAAATCTTGTGAGAGTTTCAATATCTCATACTAATTTTTTTGATTTTCTTAACTTTAAATAATTAAGAAAATTTCCATTGACTAACTTTTATCTAATAATCCCACATCAGAAAAAGAAGGAAAAAATAAGTTGTTTTACTCATATAAATTAAATCTTATGCTCACATCTCATTTAGTAAGGAGTCTTGTGAGAGTTTCAATATCTCATATTAATTTTCTTGATTTTTTTAATTTTAAACAATTAAAAAAATCTTAATTAGCTAGCTTTTATTTGATAATCTCACATCGAGAAAAATAAGGGAAAAAATGAGTTGTTTTATTCATATAAAGTGAATTTTATACTCTCATCTCATTTAATATTGTAGTGTTGACCTAGTCGATTAGGCTAAATCATTTTTGATTTGATTGATTCGTTGGTTTAACCGCGATTTTAATGATTTTATCAAAATATATTGATTAAATTTGAAATAAACTAATTTATATTAGCAAAAGGAGATTTTTAGTGAGAAACCCTATGATCAATAGCTCATACTCATTTTTTTTTATTTTCTTAATTTTAAGCAATTAAGAAAATCTCCATTAGCTAGTTTATATTTAATTTTTATTTTACAATCTCACATAGACATTTTGATTTTAAAAATAATTTTGTATGAGATTTTAACACTAATAATATTTAACTTTAAAATAATTACAATCCAACATCGAGAAAAGAAATAAAAAGTGAGTTGTTTCACATATATAAAGTGTTGCAATCTCACATCGGGGTAAAAAGAAAAAGTGAGCTGTTTCACTTATATAAAGTGAATATTATAAATGAGGTTTTAAGGGAAAAACCTTCTACAAGCTCTAACCCCTCATTCTAAAAGTATTGAATTTTCTTAATTTTAAATAATGAAGAAAATTCTCATTGGTTAACTTCCATTTACCTTTTATTTTATAATCTCCCATTGGGAAAAAAATGAAACAGTGAATTGTTTCATTTACATTATTCAAAAAAAAAAGTTTCATTTACATAAAATGAATCTTATACTCCAATTTATGTAAATTATTGATTTTTTTTTTAATTTTAAACAATTAAGAAAATCCACATTTACTAGCTTTTATTTAACTTTTATTTTACAATCTCACATCGGGAAAGAAGGAAAAAGTGAATTGTTTCACTTATATAAAGTGAATCTTATACTTTCATTTATATAAGCAAAATGAGATTTTTAATGAGATGCTATATAATCAATACTAATTTTTTTTTATTTTCTTAATTTTAAGCAATTAAGAAAATCTCCATTAGTTAATTTATATTTAACTTTTATTTTACAATCTCACATAGAGGTTTTGATTTTAAAAATAATTTTGTATGATATTTTGAAACTCTCATAATATTTAACTTTAAAATAATTACAATCTCACATCAAGAAAGAAAAAAGTAAGTTATTTCACTTATATAAAGTGAATCTTATACTCTCATTTAATATTATAATATCATGTATGTTTCAGTTAAAGATAGTTTAAATTTTAAAATAAAATTTAAAAGTTTTAATTTATTAATTTTATTGTAAATTGGTTGGTCTTTTGACTTAGCTGATTAAGCTGAGTCATTTTCAATTTGACTGATTCACTAGTTTAATTGTGGTTTTAGTTGTTTTATCAAAATATATTACTTAGATTTGTTTGATTTGAAATAAATCAAGATTTACCATATTAAAAATTGAACAACTAAGATTGTTTAATTAGAAATGAACTTCCCGTCCAAATAACTGTTAACTTTTATTTTACAATCTCACATCAAGAAAATGAGAAAAAAATGAATTGTTTTACTATATAAACCTTATACTTCAATTTAATATTGTAGTGTTGTGTATGTTTAAGTTCAAGACAATTTAAATTTTAAAATTAAAATAAAGTTTAAAAGTTCTAATTAATTAATTTTTCTATAAATTGGTTGGTCCTTTGACCTAGTAGATAGGGTGAACTGTTTTCGATTTGACTGATTCGCTGGTTTGATTGCTATTTTAACAGTTTTATCAAAATATATTAGTTAAATTTGTTTGATTCGAAATAAATTAAAGATTGACCTAATTAAATATTAAACAACTAAGATTGTCTGATTCGAAATAAACTTACTACCCAAACAATTGTTAACTTTTAAACAATTAAGAAAATCTCCATTGACTAGCTTCTATTTAAATTTTATTTTATAATCTCACATTGAGCAAAAAATGAAAAAGTGAATTGTTTCACTTTACATAAAGTGAATATTATGCTCTCATTTATCTAAGCAAAAGGAGATCTTTAGTGAGAAGTTTTATGATCAATATCTCATACTAATTTTTTTAATTTTCTTAATTTTAAACAATTAAGAAATCCCACATTGGTTATTTAACTTTTATTTTATAATCTAACATAGAAGTTTTTATTTAAAAAATAATTTTGTATGGGATTTTGAAACTATCATAATATCTCTACTTAAAAGTATTATTTTATAAAATATATACATATATCGATAATTTTAATGTCACTCTTACTGCTCCTTGATGCAAAAATTATGAGATATTTATGATAATTTTAATTTTGTATTTAAAACTTATAAATTATGAGATAGATTATTACAATTTTAAATTTATATTGTATCAATTTTAATTTTAAATTAATAGATTTCTTTCCATGTTTAATGACAGTTTAAATTTTAATAAAACAAAATTTAAAAGTTTTAATTAATTAATTTTTGTATAAACTGATTAATCTTTTGGCCTAACTGATTAAGCTAAACCTTTTTTGATTTGAATGATTTACTAGTTTAACCGTGATTTTAATAATTTTACATGTTACGATAATTCTTTCTTACTCATTAAGTTTTTAAATTTTCTTTAATTATTTCCTTTTTAAAAACCAATATAATAATTTTTTTAAATTCATATATTTTTATTCTAAAATAGTGAAGTATTAGAACTATGTCATTTTTTTTTTTATATAACAAAGCATAATTTTAATTATTAATTATCAATGCAACAATTTTAATTTATCTATACTATATATTATAGTAAAGAAACATTTGAAACAAAACCTTTAAATTTTTATATAAAATTTTGTTTACAAGAGACAATATATATAAAAAAATTAAATATAATTATCATATTTTTAATAAATAATATAATATTTTATCCGTACATAGCACGGGTGATATGCTAGTTGATTAATAATTAGTAAAGATAAAAGAGAGATTGTAACTTTTAATATCTTAATTGATTGTCACATGACCAAACTTAAAAATTGAGTCTAATTTTTTTTATCTTGAATAACAATGTTCTTAAAAAAAATTATAAAAATGTTTTCCAAAAAATGTATTTATTTATGTTAAAACAAGGGAAGCAAACAACAGGTTTTACAATTTCTAAACCAGGATATCAATAGCCGAAGCAAGAGCTACAAGAACCATTTCAGTACATGCATCATGTATTACAAATTTGTTAAATAAATCTTTACTTGACAATCACTAACTAAATCAACAACAACATCCTATACGAGCAAGAATCTGAATGCCTAAAATCCAGCCCCACCCTTGAATCTATTTATTAACTTATTTTCTTTCCTTTTTTGAGGGGAAAATGAATCATGCATGGGGTGGGTTGATGTGCTAGCTAAGAATGGAACCCACCTTTGATGGGAACAAAGATCAAAGTTCAAATGTTGGAACTTCAGAATCAAAACCATGTGTTGCCTGGAAAATTAATCGAGGCAGTATACTTCTATTAGGATCATGTTCTCTTTTCTCCTTCAAGAAAGCAATGCATTTCTCAACCTCGGACTTGACTTCTACATACAATTCGTGTGCTTTCTCCCTACTCTTTAATTCTTGCTTCCTCCCTTCACCATAGAATGAAAAGGCAAGATTAAGAATTGACAAAATTTACTTTAAAAATAAAACGTTTAGGAAGAAACAATATAATTATATGAAACCTCTAACAGTATTTACTATCCAAGCAGGGGCACAAGCATCTTAGAACTGTTCTGAAGTCTCAAATCTCTGTTAGACAATCTTTTAAAACACATAACTCATTGTGGAAAGCGGACTTGGAAATGTGCACATCATGTAGCAACCACTCATAAATTAATATACGAGTAGGAGTCATTTGGGGTGAGATATCAAACGTGGCTTCTTATTTATGTATAATCAGTAACTTGTGTTACATTATTCTAAGAGCTTGAATTGGTATAGTTGGTTCAGTAAATCCCCACCGAGAACTAAACCAACAAATTCCCTGAAGGTTTGACACAGAACTGAAGCATGAGTGACACAATTAGATCAGAATCAGAATAAAACATCAATCGATTTGTTTTGTCCAAACAATAGGCATATATCAAAGGTATAGGACCCATTTCCATGAGCCAGAAAAAATCAAAGGATTAAAATTCCAAGGTGCATGGAACGGAGACACAAAAACAAATAAAACACTCATACAAGTATTGCAAACATGGTTAAACTTGACACAAGTTCTAATAATGAGTGTAATTAAATATATAAACACAAATTCTCTCTGTTGGTTCTTTGTTAGTTCTCCATTTAATCAAACTAGTCAATGTTGAGAACCAAACAAACCAAACTGGTGATGCCAAGTTGGCTTGACTCTTCGGTTGAGTTGAGCCAGACAGACTTGTATTCCCAGACAGACTTGTATTCCCCACACGATAAGCAAGAGACTCATCATTTTAGAGGGTCAATAAGATAGACATAACTGTTTGCTGCCACCAAGAAGACAGTAATTGTAGAGGTACACAACCAAGTGAACTGAGGTTTTTTACTATATTCATTGATGATTTCTGAATTTGGTGCACTACAAGTAGTTTTCAATTTACATAAATATATTACTTTCATTAAGCACAATTAACTCTAAAGTATTTGAGAGAATTCTACCATCAATCTGAGATTAGGGGGACAGTGAATAACATACCTTCTGTTTCAATTGGTTTCCCAAAAAAGTAATAGAAGCGGCCTGGAAGTTTAGGTAAGATAATTGGAAGGTGCACAGCTTGGTTTGCAACTTCTCCTTCGGTGTCAGTTCTATGAACACAATTTCAGAACAATATTCAAACAAAGAATGAATCAATAAAAATAAATAACAAAGAGATACAAAGAAATATAACTATATTAAGTTGCAACTACAGGAGAAACTAGTGAATTTTCAATCATATTATCAAGAATCAATTTTGAATCCTTGCCTATTTGACTTAGTTATGGATGAATTAACTAAAAAAATATTCAGGATGATCTTAGTGTATGTTATTTGCAAATGATATTGTTCTATGGGGTAAAACTAAGGGAGGAATTAACACAAAGAATACCAACAAAATTGAAAGAAAAAATTATAGAACTATCGGGTCAACAATGCTTTACGGGATAGAATAAGGGCAGAAACGACACGGTCATAAAATGAGTATAGCTAAAATGAGAATGCTTAGATAGATGTGTGGTAAAATTACGAAAGACAATTAAAAATGAAATTGTAGGAGTAGAGTATCAATTGAGGATCAGTTGAGAGAGAATTGGCTAAAATGGTTCGATCATGTACAATAAAAACCTATAGATGCAACTGTAAGCAAGATTGATATGATCAATTGATCACCTTATTAGGGGGAAGGGAAGACCTAAACTGACATGAAAAAGTAATATCAAATTATTTAATATAATTAAGCATATAGCCCTTGGCAAAGTAAAATGAAGAAAAAAGATTCATGCAGCCGGCCTCACTTGATTGGGACACAAGGCTTACTTTGGTTTGGTTATTAAGTTGCACCTCATAGAGTGCCACATTATTGGATGGATAAACAGATATAGTAAAATTTTAGGGAGTTCGGTCCTTCAATTTCTCCACTTTGCTATTAGAGAGAGGTGTGGGAAAAAGATTTGGTACCTTACTACAATCACATATGGAGCATAAAGATATGAGAAAATGATGAGAAATGAGGCTGGAACTCAAGACTAAAGTACATATTTAATGAATTACAACCTATTGTCACTCTCACCATCTTTTGTAATTTTTATTGTCACACCAGGTCCCCCATTGTGGTCATTTTAGCCTACATTATCAGCTTGATATAAAACTTGTTATAGCTCACTTTATTTGAAAACCAAGCCAATTACAAATGCTCAGACTAAGCAAGTTCATCTTGGTGTCAACAGAAGTAATACAAAATATTTAAAATACCTCAACTGCACAGCCTCATCAGTAAGTTCTGCTATTCCAGCCCTAAAATAAGGAATCTTCATGAGATCATGATAATCAAGGACTACCTGATCAAAGAAAACCAGCAACACATTAATCATTAGAGGATCACCCCATTAATTGAGAACAAAAATCACTCGTAAAACGACAGAGACACAGCACATATTGCATCCATCATGTTTCTTAGGCCACGATTGTTTGAAAATTGTATAATAATGAAGGATACTACATACAGACAACAGTAACAACAATGCCATCAAAAATATTCTGCAAGAATTAAACAAAATTTATAACCGAAAATGTTAAAATTGATGTATAAAGAGAAATAGAGAATTGTATTATTGATTGATATCTTTAATGGTGTGTTGAGCTCTCTCCTTTATAGAGGAGAGGGAGAACAATTACAAACCGAAAGTAGAAGCACAAACCAAACAACATTATTAAAGGTACATTATTAAAGCATACTAATTATTATACTAACCTAATTATTAAAGCAACATTTTACATATTATATTCTAACAGCCCCCCTCAAACTCAAGAAGGATAGGAACCAACCAACTTGAGTTTGGAGAGAGTAACAAAACAGAAAAATAATCTGAAAAATAAAAAATGGATAGGAGACACTGTATGGTCGTGTCAGACCGTTGTAGAAGACTGTATGGTTATGGCAGACAGATGTAGAAGACAGTTTATGGAGTCATGTCGGACCGTTGTAGCAGACAAAGTTGTGACAGTTGTTGTGACAGTTTACGGAGTCTTGCTGGACCCTTGTAGAAACTAACCGGAATCAATGTCGGGACAGTTTACAGAGTCTTGTCAGACCCATAAAGGAGCTAACCGGAATCAATGTCGGGACAGTTTACAGAGTCTTGTCGGACCCTTAAAAAGTCGCACCCTCAAAAGGTGTGCCCAATCTTTCAAAAGGTGTGCCATCAAAAGGCGTGCCCAATCCATAAAAAGGCGTGCCATCAAAAGGTGAGCCCAAGGCATAAAAAGATGTGCCGGACATGATGGCGAGGCGCGTCACTACCTTGGCTTGCGCGCCCGTTTTGTCGTCTGGCGTCAAATGGCGCGCGATGCGCGTGTCTGCCTCTTCATCATGGTCTTTATAAACTAAAGCGGAGGCTGAGGCTTGGAAGCATAACAAACCAGTTGAAACCTCTTCGTTCTCTGAGAGCTTGTCGCTAAGAGCTGCAAATCTTGAAACACTCTGTAAACACTCTGTAACCAACCCTTTTCTGAAACACTCAGCAACCCATAACATGGCCTCTTCGTTTCCCGTCCAGCTACCCAGAACATGGCCTCCTCTTCCCGTGGTCTGCTCACGCCGAAGTCTCTCCTTCCACCGCCCTCCTCTCAACCGAGTCGCCACAACGAAGAGACCAAATGCAACTTGCGCTACGCATGAAACTGTTCAATGTATACTTGGATCTGGTCGCCAGAAGCTAATAGTCTGGTGTTTTGCCTGCTCGAGCTGAACTCACTCATTCTTACTTCTTTAATGGCTCCGATGTAGGCTGTTGCCGTTGCACTAGGACCACAGCGTGATGCAATTGTTTGCGGGGAGCCACACCGACCTTCCCAGGGGCACTTGGGTTGAGGGTTATCGTGGGACCCTTTCCTAATGGCACCGTCTCATGGAGCACAACCAAAAGTGTGAGCGAGGCATCATTACGACAGATATTTGAGACGGCCCAATGCTCAGGTATTAAGAAGGTTCTGAAGAGAATGAGATGGTCGATGGCAGACGACCCATATCGGGAACTCGAGCAGGGTCAACAAAGGACCCCATGTATTCGTCACTCCGGGCTAGTCAGGTAGGAACAAGCATGATGATGCAAAACGGGGTAGACGAGGCCAATATGTAGTTTAAGAGGCTTTGTCCGCTCAGACTGGCGTGCATGCGTCAATGGTCTATTTATATCCGAGAAGGGTGTTACAACGGAATGCGCGAGCGAGATGAAGTATTATTATAAGATGTGGCTAGAGTGTTTTACAAGAATTTGCAGCCTACTATAGCAGGCGAAAAAATAAGGACAAGGAAGCTCTCACACGTAGAAAAGTGCAAGGAAAGGGGCTCTACCTCAACTGGTTGGTGTATGCATTGTCCGCTATTCTATAGCCTAAGCCTCCGCTTCGGTTGGTTTAGGTATACCGCACAAATAGTATTGAAAAGGCTGCTAGACAGCTGCCGAGGAATCGACGGGAGTAGTGATCGTGCGCGCACAGTGGAACTGTGGGGAGCAAGAGCAGACGACAATAACGGGGCACGGCGGCACGAGAGCCAACAACTGGTCGCTGGTCACAACGGGGC